TTTGAGAGTTATTTCTAAAATTGTGTAGGTGGTACAATCGGTCCAGCTTTATACTGTATTTGTATTGTCACATTCTTATTTATGGGGTTCTCTATAGGCAGAATATAAGCTGTTTAGGTATTAGAATACGCTACGGAACACAATAATTAAGTAAAGACTATGTATCCAAAATAATGTATAAAAATGCCTGCTGTGATATTCCATTAAAGGATTCCTTCACATTGAAAGAGTTATCAATGTATTCCTTTTGGTCATGCAGAGATCCCTCCATAATGTAAGTGATAGGGCTGCAAAAATTGATTCAGCTGAAGCTATGTAAGACCAAAACAAATGGGTATCTTTCCAAGTTGCAGCTTTTTAATACGAAAGTCCCTCTTTTTGTCTCCTGGACAGTGTTTCCTGTGTGAGTGGAGCAGTGGAGGGATCAACACAAAGAGGGAATTTTACATTAAAAAGACAAACAATTGAAATTAACCACTTTTAATGGAATTGTGTTAGGAAGGGATTTTTCACCGGCCAGTATGGACAGGAGAAACAGTTATCAATAAACCTTTCCTTTTGGTCAGTTTTTTAAATTTTACAGAAAAGATAAGAGAAAAAAACAAAACAAACAAGCATACGCTTCTATACATTCAGACCTTGTGCCCATGTTTTCCTTGGATTTATCTAGATCCAGATATGACAATGTCCATTTTCTGGGAAACGTCTTCCCCTTATTCCTCAGAACGAATGTTTTTCTATTGCACATCTCTTACTGTGTCCATCCATTGTTTAAGACTAGCAGGTTCCTTTTTACTATGTAGATCAGTAGATCAGCAGTTTCTGAAATACTCAGACCAGCCCGTCTGGCACCAGCCACCATGCCACGTTCAAAGTCACATAAATCCCCTTTCTTCCCCATTCTGATGCTCAGTTTGAACTTCAGCAAGTCCACTCGACCACATCTACATGCTTAAATGCAACAGGTGTTCCTAATAAAGTGGCCGGTGAGGATATGTGGGAATGGTTTCCATTTATGTGCCCACACATTCTCAAACACTGATGTTTGGTATGAAGTTGTTAATTTAACTAATAACTCTTTAAATGTACATATAGACATGTCAGTATTGCTTAAAGACAGACTTGAAAACATTTAAATGTAATGTCGCAATCAAAATTCCTTTAGAACTGGTACATCTCCAGTCTACCCCTATATATGTGCAACTTTTTCAAATTGAAAAACTTAATCAAATTGCAGATAGTCTTTCTTTTCCCAGGGAGAGATTGGTCTTCACAGCCTACACAGGTACGTACATGTACATGAAAAGCACAGATATACCCAACATACATGCACAATAAACATGTTGTATCACATTTACATGCATCAGTTTGTTTGTTTACAGTGATTAACATGAAATTTTATCTAGTGCTTCTATGGCAGATAAAATAAAATATTGGGCCCTCTTCTCTAAATTTCAATGAACAATAGTGCACCATACTCTGATAGAAAACTGCTTATATCTTTGTGTATCCCAAAGTCAAAACTTTTGTAGTAGTTTCTCTGTGTAAATCTCCTCATCATTGTATTCCAAAATGCCCTTTATACACTGACACATTTTTCTGCTATCAACATGTTGCAAACTTATAGTCAAATGTGTGACATAACCTCAATAACCGAGACATTTAACAATGTAGATATTGCCTGTAGGCTCACATTTCACTTGAATGTGCAGCTTTACTTTGAAACCAAAGACTCCTGTACTGTACAATCAGTGGGATAATCAACTAGAAAGAAATGCTGCCCCCTTTCACACTTGATTTGCTAAGAGCAAGACATTTGATGCGTGGCTGAACAAACATAATCCTTTTAAATAATCCTTTTTCTGACCAGAATTTACAGACAAAAGTAATATACACTGGTTTATGTATTAACAAGATCTAATTAACTCGCAGAGATTTTAAATGTGTGCCAGGCTATTCCATTGTTTCACTTAATCAAAACTTTCTATGATATCGGAAACCATATCATGAGGAATAAATGAGGATTTGCCTTGCCTGTAGGAACTGTCTTGGAAATACTGAACAAAGGACACAGTATCCATAGTGACATAACAACATTAGGCAACAGGGACCCTTTAGTGTAAGTACAGAACATACATAGGACAGTGACAGTTTCATGCTCCAGCACACTGGAATAGAAATAGAAACTTCTAACTTTCAGCTCAAATTTGAGCGTGTTAATATCAGCATCAGATGAGCACTGAACAAAAACAAGTTCCTTTGTCATATGCTATAGGAAAATTATGTTGAACAAATTCAAATAGAACTTAATTAATACATATATCATACTTAATTAAACTAAAATAAATAAAAAACTGCAAATCCTTTGTAGTCAATAACTGGTAGGGGTCTACAATCCAAAGACATCATCAGACACTTCCTCACTGGTGATGCTCTGCTCAGACTGCAGCCTTTTACACTTTCCACTGTTTAACTATCAAAAAACTCCTTGGTTCACTGCCGGATTATCAATCTCGTAAAACGGGCAACTGCCCAGAGGCTCCAGACTATTACTGGGTCCTTAAGCTGCAGAATCATTGTGTGGCAATTAGTTTCGGGTAATTTGATCTATTGATCATTTGTTTAATTAGCACTAAATAGTAACATGAGAGTTCCCATGTTTTAAATGGGCCTCAAGGTAAAATCTAGTTTTAAAGCCTTTATTGTTTCAGTTATCGTGTGCTTAGTGCTTCATCAAAGTACCACAAGCTAATTACAAATTATTCCACAATGAACAGAAGGGGACGCCCTATAGAATTAACAAGCCCTTCCTCGATTGCCTTGTCTGTATGTTTAGGATCATTCTCCAGCTGCATTGTCCTAAAATTGTGGCTATGAAAATAGGGCTTTGATTTATATGAGTCCAAAGATGCCAAATATGATATATTTCAGGGATATTTTTTAGATTCTGAATTGTCACCGGCCACATGAATTTTGTTTCTCTTCACATAGACATTTCCACCATAAATTGGTGCAGAAAATGTCTCTAGAATGCAGGAAATTAAGAGTTTAATGCTCAACATAGCCTATTTCATCAATGAACATATCTTATCAATAACATTGGAGTATCTTCTTGTCTTGTTCTCGTGACTCCTATAATGCCCATTATCACGTCTCGTGGACTTCAGGGTTTCATCACACCCCTAATCTGAGCCCTTAAATGTCTTTTCAACACAAAATGACGCCCTTGTTAAGAGGTGTTTTGTTTTTTTAATAATACACTAACATCGAGAAACATTTTGGCACCAGAAAAACAAAGCCATGAGTAAAAGAGTAGGATTATTTCCTGTCGCGGGAATCCGACGCTTGAGATTGTAGGCAGGGTGCAAACTACGGGGAAGCTCGCTCCTCTTAACAAGACAGTAGCTCCCCTGATGGATCATGCGTACAAATTACTTTCATGATCAGAGAGGCTGCGGTCAGTTCATCCTGACTGATCATCTCGGAGTGTCGGGAGATTCAACTAATCAATGACTTTATGTTGCTGCGCACAGCGTCCTTCTTAATGGGGACACGATTCACCTATTTCACCTCTCCCCCCATTAATCAGAAGGTTAAGTTAAGTAAGACCCACCCTATCCGCGGATTTAACTCTGCACATCACTAGAACGCACCTATGCAGGCACATCTTACCATTAGAATGATGTGCCCATTAAATAAAAGTTCAAGTAACGCAAAAATACTGTAAAGCATTACAATTCAGAGACAATAATATTATAACTAACTAATTTCAAATGACAGTAACTAGTAATCTAGAATGTATTAAATTTTGGAAGTAATTTGCCAAACACTGGAAATTTGTATAAACTGATACACAAGACAGCTACATTATTTCCTTCTGGAATAGTGCAACATGGAGTCTTTATAGCCTATTAGTTTTTTCCTAGCTTTTACAATGAGAGCAATTTCAATTCAACTCTAAGAATATCTAAGATTTAACCAATCTTACTAAGTTTTTTTAGAATAATAATGACTTCCTTTGAGTAACTCTTGAATATTGATCACAGTGTTTGTTTGCTCAAGTGTTTTTTTGTTTTTACATATTTATCATTTTCATTTTGATTGTATTTTGTCTTTCCTTTGTGGGAGACCTAAAGTATAAAAAGTCTAAAGTGAAACGTCCCTTGGGTTTTTATTTTTCCCTCAGTGTAAAAAACATTAATGAAGAGTTGTAACAAGCAAATAGAAAATATATATGATGTTGTCACACAACGGAAATGTAAAAGGAGTATTTAATCAAGTGGTAGAACACTTGTAAGTTTATAGCCTGGCCTCTTTATTTATTTATTTTTTTTAAATAAAAGCACATTTTTGTCCAACATTTTTTTGTATTACTTCTTCAGGTCTTACAGACAGCTATGCCAGTACACAGACAGAACAGATGGATGCTGACCCTGAGTTCCTCCTCCAACAGAGGTAACAGTTGCACTGCATGCAGAGGCTTATTCACATTGTTTATAGGTAAGGCTCAGTAGACCAAATTAAGCAGCCAGGATGCAACTGGACTGTGTAACTGAATGACTAAGAAGATTAGACAAGATTTACCTACCTAGCAGTCGTCAGCACCACTATTCACACAGACTAGGTACATAGCAACAGGTCAGTGAGCCTTGTGAGCCACATTAGCGTTCACCATGGACTAGTAGAGAGACCCATTGAGAAGAAATGGGAGCTACCATTTCCTTGGGACCTCACATTATTGGGATTGTTTCCTCTCATCCTACAGTTAAGCTCCTGGCAAAGGTCAGTGTCCAGCTCTGTCTATACAATTTCCGATAGTAAGCTTCAATCCATGGTTCAGTTTTTTACGTGTGTTTGTTTGTATATGAGGTCGCAGTATGGCCGCATTATCAATACACTGTAATGTTACAATCCAACATCATTTGAGCAGAGGTATTCACCCCATGAGCTTCAATAGATAAAACACATTAACAGTAATTCTTTCCCCATTCAGAAGACCACAATGTGAGGTGAACATGCTTCATCATGATGCCATATATCCTACAGACTGTGTTTACTTGGACATATAAGGGAATACTGTGCACCTGCAGGTTCCTTTGGGTGAGCGTATGTTCCGTGAAATTTGTCATTTGTTTTGCTATTTGGATATCTCGTCAATAACACTTATAAACCACATTTATTTGCATTGCAGATATGCCCATACAATGCAATACAATTCTTGCCAAGGGAACAACATGTTACAGAGGACACAAGCCGCCAGCATAGACAACTTGTGGGTAAGGATCTTATACAATCAATGACACAAATTGCCTAATGAAATCTTTACTTTCAATTGAAAATACTTTACTTAGCTGGCTTAAATCTTTACAGTGAGGCTGGTCTGTTCAAGTTTCATGAGCCTTACATGTGCAATGATCAGTTTGTTTTGGGGGAAATATATTACAGATGACCTTCCAGTAGCCATCGAAAGGAACTGTCATTATGGAATACAAGTCTACCTATCACACCTAGCAGGGTTAAATGTAAACCAGCAACAAGTTGCATTGTCTTCCCTAGTTTCTGTAGCCAAAAGCATCCTTCTGTAAATGTACTTTACATCTCCTCAGTACATGGATAAATAGGGATATGGTCTGATGACCTGATTTGACTTAATTTGTCAGGTTCTGAAAGTAAGGGGATTGGAGCCATACCAGGTAGCCCAGACCGTACAACTGCCCTTCATAAAAGACTAACCAAAACCGAGAAAGACATACTGTCACTCAAGACCAGGATCGCCTGTGAGAGAGCATCATGGGAGAGGAGATTTGCAGAACTGCAAAGAAAACAGGAAGAGCTACATAATCAGGTGTGCTTGTGTATGTGTGTGTCGGTGGGGACTGAATACATGCTAACCCATGGGGACTTGTGTCACCGTAGTGACCAAAATTCAGGTCCCCACAGTCGAAGACTACTATTTGATGGTAAAGACTTGTTTTTAGTGTTCTGGTTTTGGTTAAGGTGCTAGGGAATGCATTTATGAGGTGTCCCCTTGGGGACAGTAAAACAAATGTATGTGTGTGGTTGAATTTGTGTGTATGACTTTGCTAATAATAATTTTATAACATTTTACTTAGCTTGCCTCCCAGGCTGGAGCGTTGGTGAAAGAGGACACATATGATGACCAGGGAGAGACAGGAGTGGACAATGGAGAAGTACTTGAGAAGTGTTCAAGTAAATAACAGTAACACTGAATTCATTCAGAAGTTTTTATACATGTATGGTTTTGAATTAAATACTGATGTCAGTGGCTACTCTTATGAACAGGTGGTCTCTCAAGAATGATACGCAAAGGGTTAAAGGGGTCATCAAGAGAAGAAACATATACAAGCAGTTTGTCAGGCAGCCAGTTATCCTCATCATTTGCACTGAGCTCAAGACCTGGCTCCTCCTCATCTTCAGCCACCAGGTACAGCCAGTGTTGGAAGAAGTACTCAAATATTTATCAAAAAAAGCAGCAATGAGGGGATTGTGTGCCTTGGTTAGGAGTGGCCATTATCTTCCTGGAGTCTTCCCAGGTTGCCTGATGACTGTTCCCAGGCAGGAAATTAGTACCACCATATGTAAATTGACGTTTTTAGGCCTTTAGTTTTTGTGTGGCTTAAACAAAGGAGATACCGTGCAAATTAGTGAGCTGTATCCACCAGATAGGTGGATGAATTTTTCTAACTAAAGACAGCTCAAGGCTAGCTGTTTCTCGTCTTTGTGCTAAGCTTAGCTAACTGGGTGGCTAGTTGTAGCTTCACATTTGCTGCATAGATGTGAAAGTAGTATTACTTTCTAACTCTCTGTAAATAAGCTTACTTCCCAAAAGTACTTACAAGAACCCCCCCCACATATTATATAAATATCACTGATGTTGCTAAAGCTGTAGATAGAACTTATCATAGTCATCTCTATCTTTATTGTATTAGTCACTGAACCATCTTTTCCTCCAGTGTGAGGTCACGGAGGACGTCCCAAGGGCCTCACCGGGTTTTTGTTCCTCACTCCCCCATGGACCTTGAACTGGGTCACCGGGTCAGGATCATGCTGCCGTATGGACGGATCAGCACAGGAACTATTCGTTTCCTTGGCCACCTGCAGGGGGAGGCAGATCTCCACCTTGGGGTGGAGCTGCAGACACCTGATCATGGGCTGCATGATGGCAGCCACAAGGGATACCACTACTTTGAATGGTAACTGATCTCATTTTCTTACTGTGTGAACACACGCAACATGTAGCTCTTAATGTGTCTCAGTGTGTGCAACCTGACATTCAGTGCTGCATTGGGATTTATTGTGTCCACCAATGTGTAACTCAGCACTGGGAACATTTCACTACTTTTTGAAAAGACAGTTCAAATGCTTCCTCCAAACCCTATATTATTGTGTGACCTTGTAATGCTCTAGCAGCAAAATCTGTTATTAAAATAAGATTCCCAAATCCTAACCACATAAAATTACATTAAAGTGTGTCTGAATGCATCACACTGCAGTCCTTATGTATTTTAACAGCCTAACAATGCCTCCAGACATACTGCCTTATGGCTGAGCCTAATATGCAAATCTCAGGTCTGAGGTAAACTTGGCAGGCATTTACGTGAACTTGCTTGCACCAATGACGCATTTGACTCACTGTTGTTGGAAACGGGTTTCCTTCTAGCCTTGTCTAGTAAAATACAATAAACACATAGACTACTGTATCCTACACATGGGTAAACCATGTGGACATACTTGAAACTACTTCAATGTGCTATTTCTTTTATGTTGATTTACCTCATGAGTTTAGTCCATTAACTCAAGGAAGATTTGATTCTGAATGAACTTCCCCATCATTTTAACGTTTTGTTATTTCTGTTTCTGTCCTTTGCAGCAAGCCCGGCTATGGTGCCTTTGTACCATTCCACAAACTACTGATGGCCTGGGAATGACACTATTATGTAAAGCTTCAAATTCAATCAAATCAAGTTCATTGTCACATCCACAGTCATACACAGTACAACACCTTCTTCAAAGCATTGGCACTAACAGGATAATTACCCTAACATATATGTTTATGATGATCCCGAAAAGATGCATGGAAAGACAGCCAGATGAATGCAGAACAGTAGTTAAGGCCATGGATTTAGACCTTTTTATAATGAGATACATCTCTGAATCAAAGTACATACATAAAAGGTATGTTTGTCATGTGTGTTTTGTCTGTTATTCACAATAAAAATACCATTTCATCAAATAATTGTGTGAGTTTCGGCAGACAGTAATGTTAGAGGTGCACAAAGTTGCTGTTCTCTTCTTGAGTTCGTTGCTGTACTAGTCCCAAAACAAGCACAAAAATTGTCTTAGTCTTACAGAGAAATTGTGAATTTCAAGAACATGGCTTAGCTAAAATATTTCAAGAAGCCAACCATAGCTCTGAGCACTGTTAACTGTTTTCTTTCTTGCACTGAGCTAAACTGCTAACATGCTTACAATGATAATGCTAGCATGGTAATGTTTTGCAGGTATAATATTTACCATGTTCACCTTATTAGTTGAAGTTACCATGCCAACATCAGCTGAGACAGGTGGCAATGTTATTATTTTAGCAGGCATTCGGTCATAAGCAAAAGCAGTCAGGGGATCGAAAAGATTACATTTCCTTGTCTGGGGACGATGAATGTGTTTACCAAATTTCACAGCAATCCATCCAATAGTTATTGTTTTAAAAGTCAACCTCATGGTGTTGCTATATCTAAATTCAGGGGCACCATGTGTGTCTGCACAAAATCCATCAAATAGCTATACTTCAGTCTGCACCAAAGTGGTGGCCGACTGACCAAACAACTAACATTGTCATCCGTGGGTCAGTTAAAGCATCTTTATAGAAAATTAAGCTATTATTCAACAGTAACTCCAGACTAGCCAAAAACTGTTTTCAATTGACATAAGTCTGTCACATGAATACACACTTCTTATTTGTTCAAGCTTGCAGCACAAGCTGCAGAGTAGAACATTTCTTGGTATGTAAAACCATTGGGCTCGCCCAAATTTTTAAGAAAAAAGGTTGTAGCAGATAAGTCTGTGCACAGGAGACACACCTGTGAAATTTAGTTGAGTAGGAATTTTAGGCAATACGTTGTGATGTAAGCATGAGTGAGTGCCAAGTTATTTAGTTCCTGTTAAACCTTGGATGCATATTTCAGATAGATGCATTAGCTAAGCGCAAGAAAGAACGATAACCTTACATTTAAGTCCAAATGACACACATAATATCTAACCTTTTTATACACATGCTTACTATAAATGTATATTACAATATACCTTTACAAAGTGATTTTCTAAGAGAACATAATCTGCATTTTCATGAGAACTAAACTTCACTTTTTTTTTTGCCATTTTTCAATCACACAGTAACCCAAATACTTGTGTAATGTTACAGTTGTTCTAAGAATGTTTCATTAATGCCGATTTACAGGAAAAGGGTGGAGACACACCAGCAAATTCCTTTCACTAGTGTCAAGTTTTTTTTCAGTTCCCTAGTAAGATCACCACTTATTGTAAGTCCTGTGTGTCGAAATATATTGTAGCAACACCTCACAGAGATAATAGTGAACAGCAAGCTGTTCTGGTGAACTGCAGTGAAAGTAAAAGAAAAATTAATACTTTGTACTGCCATTCTGTATTGCATGAGAACTTATTTTTGGACAAAGATTAAAATACATCACAATTGACACAATATGTAGTCACAACTCTAGAAACACAATCATAAATATTTTTGGTCAAGGGGCACTTTTCATCCAAAATATGGATGACAAGGTCACATTTGACTATAATGTCATACAAATACATATAACTTATAAATAGGAAGTCAAATTGCACTACAATGCACATTACACAGTGTTAACACGTCATGTAAGTTCATCAGAGGAATCATCAGAAAATCTCTCTCTGTGCCTTCAAGTTGAGGATCTCTGCAGCCAGTTTCTCTGCATCCATCAGATGTGGAAACATTTCCATGACTGTATCCACCTGATGCGGATTGAAGATGGCTTGGAGTTTCGTGCGGAGTTCCAACCTTTGTGAGTCAAATGCAGCAGAGGATGACTGCTGTTGGCCCCAGGAATGGTACTGATGGCCTTTGCTAGAGCAACAAGAGTTGTGTGAGTGTGAGTAATGGACCGAAGACGGGAGACCACATGATGTCCTGGCTTGGGGGAGCCCCAGAAAGGGATCTGACCAGTAATTTTGCTGATGATGTGGGGCTCCGCTGTAATGGAGATGGCTGGGGAGGCTGTGTTGGTGTGGCACACCAGGCGGGAACATGTGAGGGGGGTGGGTGTCATATTTGGGTTGACGCTTGGAGTTCAGTTTTCCATGATGTTGATGATGATGGTAACAGCAGGACTGGCTGTTGTTATTTTTCTCCGAATGCACTGAGGCATGTCTGGGTCCAGTGAGACCACTTTCCAGGGAACTGAGCCTATGGGAGTTGCTGAGGCAATGCGAAAAGTCAGAGTAGTGACTCTCATAAGAGCCAAGGCCAGAATCCAGGTACTCATGAGAGATGTTGGCATAGTAATGACTGGGCATCGAGTGCAGCCCAGGCCACTCTTTCTGACATTGGCCTCCTGTTACAGAACGGGACATATGATTCAGACTTTTTCTGGGATCCTCCCAGTACAGCAGTGTATTTTCACTAACCTGACCGGGATGTGAAGAACTTTGCTGGTCTCTAGTGTACTCAGAGTCATGAGGATCAGCTTGAAGCTGTCTGGGTGGTAATGTGGCATTTCTCTCTTCTTTTAAAGTGGAAATTTGGGCTTTCTCTCGCAGTTCATCAGCCAAGGATAGGTAGGACTGGTTTGCCCGCTCTGGGTGGTAGAACTTACATTTGATGCCGTAAGTGCACTTTTTGTCTGAGGAAAACCAAATTGGATACACACACAAAAGGTTATAGGTCATGTCATTTGAGAACGACATTCCTTCCGTGTCCGAAACCACTAAAAGAATGAAAAGTCTAACAGTACACAGTGAGAAAATACTGTATATTGCAGCAGAAGGGTTCCTCTTCCTGAACTCTGTGCTAATCATATTATCTTACCATAGGGGCAGAGCTGTCTCTTTTGCTCCGTAGGCAGGGGCTTTTTCCTAAGGAAGTTGTCTAGACTGGGGCCATGGCGACCCAGTGGGTCATCTGGGGGCATGAACCTGAACCAAAAAAAACAAAACAAAACAGAAGTGACTTATCACTGATGTCTTCATCTACATGTGACAAATCAGCTGGGTGCAACATAATTGTGTTTCCCTGATTACACCATCACAATGCAATATGCCTTCAGGAACAACATTAACATTAAACAGGAAAAATGTGAAACCTGCTCAGGCCCAGCTAGAAGAACAGGCTGACTGCTTACTTGTCATTCACAAAGGAGTACATGAGGAGTCTCTCCTCGATGCATTTCTTCCACTCAGGTCTTTCTCCTTGAAGGTCACGGTAGGTGTCATTGGATACGATCACGCCGTCTGACTCATATGCCAACTTGACGATAAAGCGGTCATCATAGCAAACCACTCGCTTACCCCCAACACGGCGTGATGGAGTGAAGACCACTATTTTCTGTTTTTCAAGCTCCAACAGGATGTGTTGATCTGAAATCGCAAACAATCATTAGTCAGGTTTCTGTCAAAGTTTTTCATTGTATAAACGTTCATAGCTTTGTTATGGAACATGACAGAGATTTGTCTTTATCCACAACCGCATGTTAAGATATAAAAACCACAGTGCACCAGCAATCAATCACAGAACACAAAAGACATCAGAAAAGCTATTAAATCACCTGCACAAACATCATAACAATCTCTATGTACATTATATCATATTACTCTACCTGCGAGGTGAGTGAAATATAAGAGAATACACACAACTGAAATTAAATGAGCCTGGACCAGGTTACATAAAAGCTAGATGGTTGTCTGACTGAGCTACTGATTTACATACACATACACTCAGACACACTTTTCTAACTTCTCACTGTCAATGATTGTCAGCAGTTAACCACAAGGTTTACTGCAAGTAAACTAGGTGTGGAAGAAAAAACACAGCTGGACTTCCTGATGGGGCTTTCCCATGAACAGGCTAATTTTTACTTCCTTGTTCCCAGATTGAAAATAGAACCTCTGGATTGCTCCACCCAGGCTCCACAGTTACTAAATCATGACAGCCACAAGGTGATGACGAATCAGTTTAAACAGATGGTAAGTCAGAACTGAAGGGGCCTCTTGGATGAGAGGTGAAACATCCTCGGGTCTCTTCAACCTAGTCCAGTTGCCCTTGATTTTAATCTTCCTTGGACAACTATGACCTGGATGATTGAGAGCATTCACAGAAATCACAGATACAAGAATATGCATATCTACAGCTACAGTGTTAGAGAAGATTAATCAAATTCAAATTTCTTGGTAAAAGAAAAGCTCTATAGAGAAAGAAATCTCAGTGATTTAATTGAACTTCATGGGACAAAGCAAAAAACACTGATCCCTGGCTAATAAAGGAAGAGAGGAAAATATGCTTGATCGCTTTCTACCAACACTCCTACCAACACCTCTCAAGCCCACTAATTAACATGTTATATCTTGTTTGTATAATCTAACAAATAGTGTAAAATGACAATTCATTTTCATGAGGGCTAATCCTTTGCCGGTACCAGTTGCCAGCAGGTACTCCGGGAAGTTATTGCTCCCAGTCAAGAAATAGAGAAAGGAGACAACCCCTTGTAAAACAGCAGTTGTTTTTACACTTCGGTTTTTGTACAGATTAAATAGATAGATTAATAGATAGAATGTGTTAATTGGTGAGCATAGAGGTGCCGGTAGGTGAATTTTGTTACAGTTAAGTCGTAGCAGTCCAGTCCAGCTCATCAATGCTGGTTTGTCCTACCTATGTGACGTACTGTACACTAGGAAAGTGCAGAGATAATCTGTTCTTTCAAACGATGGTTATCTGATAGCTCAAACATAAATAATAGGCTGCACAGCTCTTAACCTTATGTGCAGTGCTTGTATACGCTAGTTTTGTACAGAACTGAACTGAGCTGAACATGATAGCTTGGACTAGATTGAAACAGATTGAATGTACAACTAAATAAAGTTCTTTGAAGTGATCTTAACAGATTCAAATCAGCAAAGTGATTCATCATTACCGCCTCTAGTATCTACTGTATGTTAATGGTGTGAAGGTAACTTAAAAAAGTTAACTAGTTAGCCTGGCTTACCTGGTGGCCACTTGACTTTGTGACTGCAAGGGTCAATAATAACTAAAAAAAAGGTCAATGTCATTTATATTTGAACCAGACCCCCTTTTAAATGGGGCTGTTAGGGTCTACTTGCTTATGGTTTAGCCAGTGGGATTGTTTCTACATTGACCGAGAAGTGTCTGTGTGTCTACACTACCTCCAATCTGTTTGATGAAAACCATCTGTCTGCTTGGTTGTACATTTCTTATCCTCACCTGTTATGGGGGTATCAGGTCTGGGCTGCTCTTTGCGCCAAGTGGGAACAAACACAGTAATAGTATTGTGACCTCTGTCCAGAAAGAAGTCACATGCCAGCTGGATTCCTCGGCATGAGAACACTTCTTTGTTGCCATGACTGTAAAAACAAGAACATAATAGTACAGGAGTTCAAATAGTCTGTCTTAGAACATTTCCTTTGAGTGAATCTACCCTGGGGCTATTACTTACTGTGAATTGAATACATTACACTTCATATCTATTTAGAGGAGGAGATTGTGAGGTGTGTGCCTAAAATTTGCATATTGTAGCAGTGACTTTTACAAAAATGCAGGGAGGGTGGTGAACACCCTTTACAACACCCACTTTAGTTGTTAATTGTATGTTTTTGTGTATAGCAAAGGTTCTACAGTTCAAAGTAGCAAAACATAACATCTTTGAAAATTAGTGGATGGTCAATGAATACAGAAAATAACAATAACAACAATAATGTAGATTACCTCATGGCCACATTGCTGCCGTCGATAACGATTGGCCTCAATTCTGTGTGTGCAGTATGTTGTGGTGTGATTTTGCAGGGTCCAAGTTCCCAACTGGAAGGCAGCAGAGGATCCTTTTGGCCTACGCTCTTCTCATCGCAGTCAGAACTGGACAGGCAGGGTGCAGTACAGGTCCTGCTCCGGACAAGCTCTCCCAGCACCGCGTTGGTGTCTGTGCTTAGGCTCAACTTCCTCAGAGCAGCCTTCACCTCTGCTGAGGAGTAACCCAGTTTCCTGAAGAAGTCTATTCTGAGCAGGAGGTCCTCACTGTCTGGTTCGAGCACTGTCAGGTTTGAGCTCTGGCTGAAAATTGCCTGATCCATCCTGGAGCATCTGTGTCACACAGCCCCAGGGTGGTATTCATCGACTGACTGAAGGAAAATTACATTTAATTAAGAATGTTCTGACGTGATTAATTGATTAATAAAATAAATGGCAGATTAACCTGTAATGAAAATATTCATTACGGACCAATTGCCTTAATTTTTAGTACTCTCATAAATTATATTTACCTGTAATTTAATTTCTATTGTCACGTTATTGTAATATGGTGAATCTGATAAAGCTACAAATAGGCATTAGAAAATGTCCCTTAATGTAAACGTCTGTATGTTGTAACTGTCAACAGCGTTGCTTTACCCTGACAGTAGGTAGTTTGCAGGTCTACTCAGCTTTCCTGTCGGCCTCCGTTAAATAAAGAGAGCAGAACATAAGAAGAACAAACGCACTGTGGGCCTCTACACGTTTTGCTACTCGTATGAACATATAAAAGACTAATTAACGTCCCTCTACTTCATAAGACACAACGAGTGTGTAGATCTACGCTACACAGGTGACAAAGTTTCCAACGGGACATTTCCACTGCTAACAGGCAGGTTAGGCAACAGCCCATTTCTCCTCAAAATATCTCTGAAAAGGCAAACCTACGACTTACCTTCACTGTGTGTAACTCTCTCCGTGTTCCATTTGTCAGAAGAAGTCACTTATAACTCTTGTTAATGTTTCGAAAATACAGTAACTTTGACACGCTTCGGTTTTCACAGCACCTCACCTCCCACTTGGAAAATGGTTTCTTCCCTTCTTCTCTTCCTCATGACGAAGGCATGCTGAGCCTTCCAAAGATTTGCATATATCATAGATAAGATACGGTGTTTTTCCTGTGGCTGTCAGTGAGTCACGATGTTGTACACAGCTTTTGTACAGTGTGTGTGTGTGTGTGTGTGTGTGTGTGTGTGTGCGTGCATATTCTTTGCTCTTACTGTTGTCCCTTAAGGCAGTTTACAGAATACAGTGACATTAAAAACAATTGCAGGAAATTGCAATTGCAAAAATTATTGCAGAAAGTAAAATGCAGGTAAAGCTAATGTCTTTGTGTGTTGAATGTAGTAGTAATGGCAGTAATTTGTAAATGACCTTACTCTGTGTTTTAGAAATTCTTATATATTTTGAGGTAACTTGATGTAATTTTTACTGGTTGGTTTTAAAGGTTCTCTGCATTTTCACAAACGTTTTGTTGTTGTTGACACTCCAACTAGAAGATTCATGTGAGGAACAATTCATTAGTTTGGGGCGAAATATAAAATTGATGATGGTTGAAGTAAAGCCAGAGGCTTGAGACTGGAACAATGCCTCTGTCATTTTTTTTTTTTTTTGTGGCGTAACCATACCCTTTGTGTTTAATATCAGTGGATCTCCTCCCCTCCTTTTTACATTATAAATGAAACAGAATCACATCGGGGACAATACGCCCCCTAGTGGTGTGGGGCAAAATAACTAAAGTACCCACACCTATGAATTTTTCTATGCAGTCTGACTTTTGTTCATGTGTAAAAGTGAATCAAAGACACAGATACCACGCTCTCTGAACGAAAAAAATACGAGGATATAATAATATTATATTGTGTTTCCATTAAAGGAAGTGAAATCAACTCATACTCTGATAAAGCTACTAGCTTATTTGCTATTAGAACAAAACCTGCTTATACAATTAGCATTCCGATTTTTAAAAAATGTAGTGAAGATTAGTAAACCATCATTTAGTCATATAGCTACCCATGTAGAAATGGGGACAGAATTGAAATTATGTTTTGATTTGTTTGAGACTGTATTGGAAAGAAACTCAAGTACTGAAGTACAATTTTATGTTGCTTTATGCTTCAATTCCATTACATTTCCGACAGAAATATTGTACTTGTCACTCACTGCATTTATTTGACTTACTTTGCCGTTCAGATATTATTTCATACACAAAACCTATGATCAACCTATGAACAAATAAAATATGATGTATTTTTATCACACTACAATATACACAATAGTTTAAACAAACCAAACCTTGACAATCTACAACATTAAAATTCTGCTTACACATTAATTATTGGGGCAACATCATACTGTACACACTGAAATCACATTCAAACATGTCGGGTCTTTTCAGTTGGGGGCGTCTTCACCCTTTTTACCCTGTTCATTATTGTGTATTACTGTAATAATAACCGCACACATTGCAGCTACTGTTTACATTGACAGCTCATGTCTGCTTGTGCTATAATTTGGCCACTAGATGTCACCTTTACTCCATGTTATCCCGCTATATAGCTCTCACGAGGGAGATAATGGAAGATGTTGGTCTGCAAATGGTTGTGTGGCTTTAGTGGGGTGGTAAAGTTGTTAAGTTCTGTGTAGTGTGTGTGTGTGTGTGTGTGTGTGTGTGTGTATGTGCGCGTTTGTAAACAACCCTTTGTGTACAGGGTTAATGGCACGGTCGAGTTGGGATCACACTGCGTGTAGCTGGTTAATGGCATATACACAGCTGAGTTCCGGAGAGTGGAGAAAGTAATCAGGTCCAGTTGCCAGGCGGTTGCTTCCTCTAAGGGCCCACACCACTGGTCCCAGGTGTCTGCAAGGCCTGATATTACTGCAGGGCAATGAGCTGCAGCCAGCAACGATGAGTTGGGGTGAACACGCACACACACATTGAAGCTCAGTCTGAAAGAAAAGAAACCGAGAGCACACACATATATTCACACCTTTGTATAAGTCAGTTATACATGACTTTATATGTGGGAGAGTTTCCAAGTGCATTTTGAAGAAATATCAGTTGTATCACACTTGGCATGATGGACTGTTATGTAGTATTTTATTGAATGCAACCTGTAAATGCTCCATTTAGCCTACAGTTGTCTGTGGTTGAGTGCATTGTTTTGTAATTTATGGCTAGATTATGTTGGAAGGCATCATTGGCATCCAGAAAGCTATTGTTCAGTAATGCTTGAACCTTGTTGAGAATCCAAGCGCCCAAGATTTGATGAGATTAGTGCAGATTGGGTATTGTGAACATCAAACGCTTACTTCCCTAACATCTTGGCTGGAGGCATCACTGTGCTCAAAGGCATATCTTTTTCTTCCAGGCAGGTGTAGTTTGGCAAGGCTTGTTAAACCTTAGACAGTTGATCAAATATTCATCCAGGCTCATTGTGCTGCTGAGAGCTTTTGGATGTGGTTAGGATAGTGCCGTGCTGATAAAACCAGCTTTGTAGTGCCTCAGTGCTGGCCTCCCTTTGCTATTGCTTTCGTTGACTGCCCCGGTCAGCCGTCTGTCAGAAAAATTAATTTTTGTATGATTTCTTTAAAAAGAACTAAAAGAAAGAAAAGGCAGCCTTTAACTGGAGTAATCCATCTTGCACCATTGGTGTCAGAGTGATTCACGATTTCCAATTTAGCCATGGTTTGAATCCAAAGTAAATCAGGCAGGACGGCTCCACCCTTTGTGCAGCTGGACGACAAACCCTCAGTGACAAGAGCCTTCAAATGAACATATCCCCCACATTCATCTTATTCATTTATTACTTCAGACACCCCGCTACTTGTCCTACATAGATCAGCAAGCATAGACCTCCTGACATTGTGTGTGGGTGTAGACGAGCTAAAGCAGTAAAACTTGCTAGGTGGCCATAGCATTGATAGAAGATTGGATAAAAGAGCAATAGAATGGAGAGGGCCAAGGTTTTTGAGTCTGTGTTTAATTAGATTTGCTTTGATTAGTGACAACTGAATTCCCTGAGCAGGATATGAGCACAGAATTGCAATGTGGACTACTACTGCCTGCTGTTCATCTACCCACCGAGATGTACTCTGGAAGCATTTGTATTTATCTAGACATCAGTTACCCAAATTCTTTTTGGTTTTGGTTTGTCAACCTTCATACTGGCTGGCAATTAATCAAGGTGTATTTCTTACCTCTTTAATATGTAATTCTACTACACATATGCAGCCTTCCTTGTCATACTACCAAATGAAGGGGACTTAACAAAAGTAAATAAATATGATTGTTGCTCTTTAAAGTTGCTGTAATGACCTGGGCATTATATTCACTGAAAAAATTCTAAACGCAACACTTTTTTTTTGCCCCCATTCATCATGAGCTGAACTCAAAGATCTAAGACTTTCTCTATGTACACAAAAGACTTATTTCTCTCAACTTTGTTCACAAATGGTCAAAATCTGTGTTAGTGAGCACTTTTGCTTTGCTGAGATAATCCATCCACCTCACAGGTGTGGCATATCAAGATGCTGATCAGACAGCATGGATATTGCACAGGTGTGCCTTAGGCTGGCCACAATAAAAGGCTACTTGAAAATGTGCAGTTTCACTGTATTGTGGGGATCCGGGGGGGTCCGGAAACCAGTATCTGGTGAGATCACCATTTGCCTCACACAGTGCAACACATCTCCATCGCATACAGTTGATCAGGTTGTTGATTGTGGCCTGTGGAATGTTGGTCCACTCCTCTTCATTGGTTGTGCGAAGTTGCAGTCAGGTCGAGAGCCCGATGAAGACGACGAGCATGCAGATGAGCTTCCCTGAGATAGTTCCTGACAGTTTGTGCAGAAATTCTTTGGTTATGCAAACCGATTATTGCAGCAGCTGTCCGGGTGGCTGGTCTCAGACGATCTTAGAGGTGAAGATGCTGGATGTGGAGGTCCTGGTCTGGTGTGGTTACACGTGGTCTGTGATTGTGAGGCCAGTTGGATGTACTCCCCAATTCTCTGAAACGTCAAATGAACATTCAGTTCACGGGCAACAGCTCTTGTGGACATTGCTGCACTCAGCATGCCAATTGCACGCTCCCTAAAAACTTGTGACATCTGTGGCATTGTGCTGTGTGATGGAACTGCACATTTTCGAGTGGCCTTTTATTGTGGCTAGCCTAAGGCACACCTGTGTAATACCCATGCTGTCTGATCAGCAGCTTGATATGCCACACCTGTGTGGTGCTCACTAACACAGATTTTGACAGATTTGTGAATGATGATTGAGAGAAATAGGCCTTTTGTGTGCATAGATAAAGTCTTAGATCTTTGAGTTCAGCTCATGATGAATGGGGGCAAAAACAAAAGTTTTATATTTTGTTCAGTGTAGCGTCACATATCTTAACAGTAACATTACTTGGCTATGCACAGGACTGTTTAGCTCATGATCAATGTCATATACTGATGTTATTTATTGAGGTTTATTGTGACCATTGCATGGTTAACGTGACCGTAGTTCTCAGCCAATGCTAAACTGATGATAGTAATGTAATGGTCCACACCGACACGCAGCCTTTGCATCTACCTCTGATTTGGCCTCAAACACACACAACTCAAAGCTCCTTCTTCACTGTGCTTTCTTTGTTTGCAAAACATGATCATGCTCCTGCACACTGAACATACGGTGCTGATCACAGAAAAAGACACACATTCTTTCAGAAACATACACATTCTCTCATTATCACACACACACGCACCTACACACA